GTGGGGGGGTGGGGGGAGGGGGTGGTTACAACTCACTTTTTTTCCCCCTCTCAGCTGGACAAAGACGCGTGTGTAAGGGGACTTAAAACTCACTTTTTACCCTAGCCCGGGAGAGGAAGACGGGTGGATTTCTTGTCCCTGGCAGAGACTGGGAACCCCTTAATACTTTTCCACCCCGAGCGGGAGCAGGTGAGAAGGGACAGGCCTCTTCTTGCAGGTCTTGAGCTAGAAACAGGGAAGTGGGGAATTTTTCAGCTGTGATTTCTGAGGCAACCCCCCCGCCCCCATCTCCCCCTTCTGTCTTCCTTTTCTCTGTGCCTGATGGCAGCCCAGCCAGGCACAATGAGGCTGAGAGGCCCCTCTTGGGAAAAACTCTGGCGAACAGCTGAGAAGAGGAGGAGGCGGCAAGGGGGAGGGAGTCTGGGCTCTTTGCCTACACTTTGCCAGCGAATCCCAGCTCCCGGAGAAACAAGTTTATGCAAATCCTGGGGCTGGTGGAGGATGAGATCAGGGGAAAGCAGAAGCCTTCAGAACTGGACTCTTTTGCAGGGACACGCCAAAAAAAAAAAAAAAAAGCTCCTGGTTTCTTTCTCTCTCTCTCTTATTGTGCACAACTCCTTGGATTTGGAGGGCTGGGCTTTGTGGGTGCCAGTCCTCGAAGACTCGCTGCTGGGAAGACCTCGCTCCCCGGCTCCGAAACTGGATTTACCAAGTGGCTTCAAACCTGGGCTCCTGTCTCGGGGACTTTTCTCTTTCTCCCGCGGATTATATTTCCCCGTAAGACAAGCAAGGAGGGTCAGAGAAGGTAATTCGCTTGGGATGCATTTTCCATGGGGCGGGAGAGGGGAAGGGGAGGCGGTGGAGGGGAAAGAAAAGGGGATTTCCCGTCTCCGATTTTCTCGGCTCTTAACTTGGTGGCTGTCAATGGCATGAGGCCCATTCTCTCCATGACCTTGGTCGAAATCCAGAGCGACCCCCAGGGACACAGGCTGGATTCTGAAGTCGGTGACCTCCGAGTAAACCCAGAGTGATCCCTGGGGTGCTCCCCGGCTTCTTGATCTCAGCGAGGCCGGCGTAGGCCTGAGATCGGAATCCGACGGAGACTATTTCAGGTCTGGCTCCAGGCACCGAAGTTTGCAGCCGTCTCGGAAAGGTTCGGCAGGCGCCAGGTATAAGCTCTGACCTGAGCCATTTTTAACCCGCCCCATTCGGGGGCTGTCTCCAAATGGTTTCCTCCTCATCCCGCTTTCAAACCTTCACTCTCTCCGACCCCTCTCTCTCCCATGAGACCCTTCCCCTTCAGCCAGCTGCTCCACGAGTTTACACGGGTGAGACTCATCATCTATGCAGCCTGTGAACCATAATAACAGTGAATCGATCACTCCCGGCCATTGAAATCGCATTAGCAGGTAACGTGATTCGGCCTGGATGGACACGAAGAATTATAGTGGGTGATAATTAACCATGGGAAAGACCACACAATGCCAAGGCCCCATGGCCATTAGCAAAAAGGAGAAACTAATACCCAGCAACGGACAATTCGACATTTAAACAATGGGGAATAGCAAGATCTACCGCTGTTGCTGTGAGAGGTAAAATAAAAATAAAAATAAAAATAACAGCTAGTCACTAGAGGGAGTGAAGTTAAGTAATTATATCTGCTCTGATGTTTGAGGTGATAAATGTGGTCATAAATAGCAGAGGCAGAGCAATTATGCAAATTAGTGTTAGCATTGCTGCTTTTTTTATTGTGGATTACAGTAAAGCAGATAACACAAGAATACCACTAATTATGAAGGCAATTTGGCAAAAGATTCATGTATTACCCACACAGTCAAACAATAAATATAACAGAATATATGACAAGTAATGAATAGGATATGATATGATGCAATGTATAATATAATGTAGTACAGCATAATAAAATGTTTCCATAATAGTATTAGCATTCTTAGAATATATTCTTAATACACACACGCTGATGTAAGTATGTATTTAAGTTATATATTAATGATATGCACAGAGCTGTGATTAATTGTATATTTTAGATGGTCACAGTTACTCAAAATAACAGTAATAGTAATTAGTAGGTAACTCAGACCTTCTGAATAGAGCAGGATATAAATCAAAATAATAATCAGAATCATCATTATCCTTATTGAAACTATAAGAATTAAGGCAATTTTGCTAGAGATCATAGAATTACACACCAGACTTTGTGATTAAAAACAAACACGTTTCAATAATATTAACAGCATTGTTGTTATAAATCATAAATACACATATACACACACATCTCCAGATACACACACACACATATATACACACATACATATAGACACATATGTATGTATCCATACATATATATACACATATTCATATAGAAACACACACATATAGACATATGTACATACACACATACAAATATGTATACACACCTGTACACATACACACATATACATATACACATGCATACTAACACACATATACACACCCAGATACGTATAGACACGCATTTGTACATATACAACATGCACACACACAAATACATACATATATATACATATACACACGCATATATATGTACACACATACATACACACACACATCTATGGCTCCATATTGTTAAACTATGCACATCTGGCTATATAGGCAAGGATGCATTATTCGTATAAATCATATATGTGATTGGATGCATGATTATAGGTTATTAATCAAACTATATTTGATTATATATATGTTTTGATATGACACCTTATTTATTCACATACTCCACTAACCTTTCCCCCAAAAACTAGCAATTGAAAATTGAATTAGGAAACTGTAATGGTTTGGTTAAAAGGAAAAGAAATCCCTCTTTTTCCCCCCTGCTTCATTTGTACTTCCCAAAACAAAGGTAGGTGTCTTCTTCGGGGGCAGCGGGGTGTTAGGTAGTTAAATACATTAATCACTGCATGCGTTGCAAGTTGTAGTAGTAGTAACGATGCTAATGCTAATAATGATGATAATAGGAGTGTGAATACAAATATACTGGGTAAACTAAACAACATATAAAAAGTAAGGCAGTCTTACTAAAACTAATGCAGTGACACCCAGGGCTATACAATAAAGACAGGGATCAATAGAAATAATGTTAGAAATAACATAGCATGCTATTAGTTATACAGAGGTATTAATTAAACTTGGGGCCCTGTGGCACCAGGCGCTGTACACATACACAGACAAAGAGGCAGTTTCTGCCCCAGCTGAGATTGGGATCGCTCTGTGTCGGGCACTGCCCACATAGCTCCTGCCCCAGTGGATTTTCAATCTAAAGAGACAAGACAAAGGCTTTGCAAGGGGAACTTTTCAAGCAAGGGACACTGACTTGTCCCCAGCCAGTCACAGAGCCAGGGATAGGACCCAGGTGTCCTGGTATCTAACCTATGCCCTGCCCACCAGTCTGCAGTGATATACCCCCATCATCATCATCATCATCATCATCACGGAGAAACAGAACAGAACAGAACAATATAAAACAAGTCAATTAATAACCCATCATATACTATAATAGAATATATTACAAGTAATAAATATGATACAATATGATACAATGTATAATATCATATAGTATAGTATAATAATACAAGTAATGAATACCATATGATAGATATAATGTATAATGCAATTAAACCATAATAAAATAGAATATATTACCAGTAATACATATGATACAATACAAGGTGTAATGTACTATACTGTACTATATTATTATAAAATATAATACTACAGACAGTTTGATGGGTAATGCAATATAATATGATACAATTCAAATGATAAACCGTAATAAAATAGAATAGATTACAAGTAATAAATATGACATTATATGATACAGTATATAATAAAATACAGTATACTGGTAATGCAATACAATAGAATATTTCAAGTAATAAATATATGATATCATAGATAAATATCATATATGTTAGGTATGCGTAGTGCAATATAATATGACACAATTTAAATAATAAACCATAATAAAATGCAATGGACTAAATTACAAGTAATACATATGATATATTATGATACAATGTATATTGCATTACATTGCAACCAAATACATTACATTTCATTAGAATAGAATAGAATAGAATAGAATAGAATAGAACCACTGCTATAAGGACACCCATCCTGACTTCATAAACTGCAGGGAAATTCCAAGTGAAACAAAATCAGACTCCCTTGACTCAAGCCAGGAGTTTTGATCCACATAACACGATTTCATGCAGACAAGGGACATATTTATGTGAACTGAAAGGCTAGGATATGCAGGGATTTGTAACCGACCTTTGCCCAGGCAGGAGGTGTGTGGGCGGGATTTGAAATTCACATTTTTAGCCAGCAAGAAGAAGAGAGAGGAGAACAAGAAACATCTACAGCAAAAAAAAAAGAGTAGGGACCAGGGTCTGAAACTAATTTTCCCCAAGCGAAAAGGGGTGAAGGAGAGGGTTTGAAATGTACTTTTACCCCTTAAGATTGTGGCAGCAGAGGGAGGCTCCAAGCTCACTTTTCCAGGGAGTCCAAGGCCTAGATCAGTGCATACCACCTTTTCTGTCTTGCTGCCGGAAGTAGGACATGCAACAAAGGCTTGAAGTTGCAGCCAAGTCGGTTTAGATTGGATCTCAGGAAGAACTTGTTAGGGCAGGGAGGTAGTGGAATAGATGCCTGGGGAAGGTATGGACTTTCCATCACTGGAGGTGTTCAAGAAGATGTTGGACAGCCACTAGTTGGGAATGATGTAGGTGTAAGCATGCTTATGTCTTACTATGGGTATTTCCCAGGCTTCTGGGCTCTGCTAGTTCCTCCCTGTCCCCCTTTCTGCTACGTGTGTCAGAGTGTTTCTAATTGTTCCCCAGAGGCATTGGATGTTGGCTGCAGCCAAGGGTGGGGATTTTGTTTGGGCTGTGCTAGAGCTCCTGTTGGGTAATAAAGCTGGAGGCTCCTGGCTGGAAGGTCTTGCCTCTCCATTCAGGGTTAGCCAGATGCCATATTTGAGATCAGGAAGGAATTTTACCCCGTGGGCAAATGGACTGTGGGGAAGTTTTGCCTTCCTCTGCACCAGGGAACATGACCCCTACCTGGGATCTCTTGAGTCACAACCTTTTAAAGAAGGAAGACACTGACTGTTGTGGTTCCCCTGCTTTCCCTGTGGCAGGGTCAGGTGTGATGTCTTGTGTTGTGTTAGGGTTGATAGTGGTCTCACGAATAGTTTAGAAGATGGATTTATATAGGATGGTTTGGATAGGGGTGATCCTGCCTCAGGCGGGGGGTTGGGCTAGATGCGGTCCCCTCTAACCCAACTTCTCTAGGAGTCTGTGATTCTCAGCCAGGGTTCCTGGAGATCCTTCCAAGGGTGCCACGGGTTGCCAGGCAATGTTAGCATGGTTAGGTGTGCAAACAGGATTCACCAGACAAACCCAGAGATTTCAGAGAGGAACCCATAGTGTCAAAACCATTCTGACCTGTTGTGGCCTTTCTGAGCTCTTTGCACCAGAAGAATCTAGTATTTTTCTGTAGCCAAAAATTAGTGAAAGCAAAGAGCTGGCATTTTATAAAAGTGCCTTGAGTCTTAAGTGCAGTGCCTTGAGTCTTAAAAGGCTGAGTACTGCTGGACTAGATGCTGTTTGGTTTCAACCGGGGTCAAGTGCTTCTGGAAGTCTCGTCCAGGCACCTAACTTTGCCATTGCAGTGTTGAAGTATCCATCAAAGTCCTCATTACTTCTAAACATGGTCATAGCAAATGCTATGGTTGGGTAATGCTGCTCT